CGTGGTGGACCAGCTGCTGTCCGAGGAGCAGGTGTCGGCACAGGGCATAGGAGGCTGAGGGCGGCAGGAGGGTTCTGCATGGAGACCTATAAATGAGGATCTCAAAGGAACCCGCTCCTGAGAACAGAGTCCCTGTAACAGTATCATCAAGAAGCGGTGTTCACTGAGCACTTGCTATGTGCCAGGCACTGCACACTGCTTACACTCTTCACAAAAAACAACTCGTTTCATCTTCCCAAGGAAGCTGCTCTTAAGGGGTTAAGGAAGTTAACCGAGTTTACCCAGTTGTGTAGGATGAGGACCCAAACTGGGCCAGCAGCTTCTGGAGCCTTGGCCCTCCGTGACTTTGCAGTTCTAAGACTAGTGTTTAAATTAGATGCTTTGAACTCACACAGATCTAAAGAAGACAGCATTGAATGATGGACAGCATCGACTGGGAATCAGAGTGCTTGAGTTTGAATCCTAGCTCTGCCCTGAGTGCTGGTTGACTCTGAATGAGTTACTTTTCCTCTCTGGACTTTAGTCTTTACCTCTGTAAAATGAGGCAGTTGGACTAGATCAGGGTGGCAGAGGGTTCTTCCTGCTCTGGGATACGATACTGAGACACATTTTCAAAGCCATTTGCTCAACTCTCATAGCAACTGCATTGTGTTGTAGGCCGAACGGGAATCATTGCTTCCTTTTTAACAGATGGTAAAACTGAGGCTCAGAGAGGTAATATGATCTGCTCAGGGTCACACTGAGCAAGCGGGAGGTCCAGGATCACAAGGTCGAGTTCCTTCTACTTTGTCACCTTAAGGTGTGGTGAGCCCACCAACTGGCCAGTCTGGGAGGTCACAATCCTCAGCGTTTTCACTGCACGTGGAGCGTCTTGTCCCAGTTTGAAGTTGGCTGTATGGTTACTATCTCTCATGGCCCCCTTGGCCTTGGGGAGGTGTCGTTTGTCTCTTCTAGGAGGCCCGGAGAGGAACAAAACCAGGCTCCTTGGCTCCTAGGCTTGGGCTCAACCACTCTGGGCCTCAGTTTCCCCACTGGTACAAGGAATGAGTTGGCCTCGATGCAGTCGAAGCAGCCACCTAGAACCGATGCCTCGATTCTAGGAGGCAAGGCAGGCTCGGTGGCTTACACGGCTCTGTGACAGGACGAGTCCCCACCCTGAGACGGGCTTCCTCAGTTATAAAATGGCAGGACTAATATCACCTTATAGAGCCCTCTCCTGATGAGGTATACAGTAGGTGCTCAATGCAGGAGGCGGTTTATCACCAGGGTCATCTCTGATGCCCTAGCCCATGCGGTGGGAGGTGGGGTGCGGGGGAGAGTGGAGGTGCCTTCAGCCGTTCTAGCTCCCCAGCCCTGGGGGTTGGTCGAAGGTGCAGGCTAAGCGCGGGCTACGGGGTGGCGAGGGCAGGGTCAGAGCTAAAGGGGGAGATACAGGGCTGGGCCCTGCTTCCCTCCTCCTCGTCTCTTCACTGTCCCTTTCCCCTCAGGCTCGAAGGGCCATCAGCGAAGCTTTCGAGGGCCAGAAGAGGGCAAGCTCGTGGCCCAGCAGGACCCAGAGTTCTGTGGAAATCGCCTCCGTCTTCTCCGACTACTATGACCTGGGCTACAACATGCGGTCAAACTTGTTTCAAGGTCAGGGCAAAGGGCAAGGGTGGGGCCTGTGAATGCCCGTAGTCCCCAAGGCATTGGGCAGGGAAGGCCCGTGGGGTATCTGCCCCTTCCTGAATCTCTATGAGTAAGACCCTAGGCTGTCCCCAGAGACTCATTTCAGCCAGACCACCAAAGGCCTCTGCTTCGCCAGGCCCTATGCCAAGCGCTGGGAATGTCCCATCCCCTGGCGAGTCTGTCCTCACCGTGCAAACGATCCATCTCGGTTGGCAGTCAGACCTCTGGTGTCCTGATCTGCCAAGAGGAGACCCAGGCACCCCTGGCCTGGGCACCTTTGGTCTCAGTGACATCACGTCTCTGATTCAAAGCTCTGCTCAGCCACCCACTGAGTGTGGCCTCAGGCAGGACTGTTAACCTCTCTGAGCCTTAGTCACTTTCTGGTACAGTGGGGACAATATGATAATGTGGCCCTCACTGAGTGCTGGCAAGACTCTCTGCAGTGCCACGGGAAGGCTCTTGACCAGTGGCGCGCGGTGAGTGCTCGGTAGGTGGCAGGCTGATATTTTTCCTTCCTAGAGCCTGGCGGTGGCACCACCTGGGGCCAAGCGTGGGCTGGAGAGTCCAACATCAATAGTGTCCTTCAGATCAGACCTGTTTGTCATAGGGGCGAGGGTGGGGAGGGCCGTTAGCTCCATTTCCACACGTGGGTAACAGTTTGCCCAAGACCCCTCATAGTAGGAGGCAGATCTGACACTCGAATCCAGAGTTTTCTTCTGTCGCTAAACCCCAGAGTCTTTCCTCACCCTGAGTCACCTCCCTAGCTCTAGTTCTGTTCCCAAGCATTTAATAAAAGGCTCAGATGGGGGCCCACGGTTAGCACACAGGGGCTTCTCTCTGCCCCCGTGTCCAAGGTCAGCTTCACTGCAAAATGGTAGTAGGAGGCAGATCTGACGCTCGAATCCAGAGTTTTCTTCTGTCGCTAAACCCCAGAGTCTTTCCTCACCCTGGGTCACCTCCTTAGCTCTAGCTCTGTTCCCAAGCATTTAATAAAAGGCTCAGATGGGGGCCCACGGTTAGCACACAGGGGCTTCTCTCTGCCCCCGTGTCCAAGGTCAGCTTCACTGCAAAATGTCAAGTTTTTCTGGTCCTCTTGCTTCATCTTGCCTCGCTCCAGTCCGTCTCCACTGTCCCCGGGGCCTGGCAAACCGCCTCACCTGGCTCTCGTCCCTGTCACCCGAGGAACCAGACAGCTACTGGAACTTTCTGGGTTTTCCTTTGAACTTGGAGAAAGGGTGATCCCGGGGCGGGGGGAGGCGGGGAGGGAAGAGAGACTCAGATTGTCCCCTGCTCTGGGCCTCAGGATTTGGCCTTCCACTTGTTTATCTAACAAGTATCACCCAACAATCCTGACATACAACCTTATATGGTAATGTCTACATAAACGTAAAAGAATAATATTTTTTTTTAAAAAAAGAATAATATATTTTTTAAAACCCACCCTTTAGCCTGAGAAACACAACTGTGTATCACACCAGCTCATAAGAGACAATTATTAAATCTCCCTGGACTGATTGATTGGCATCACAATGCTGTCTTACAATTGGCCGTGGTAGTATTTACACTCCAGAAACTTTCAAACGCTGTGAATTAGGATGGCACCTTGAGCACACTACTGTCTGTGTGGCTCACCCGTGCCCTCTCTCCATTTCCACCCACCCACTGAGCCTCTGCACGTGCTGTTCTAGGTGGGTGAGGCTCCTATGGCCAGACAGGTGTGAGGGAAGAGAAACCAGAGGGCGAGGTAGGGTCTTTTATCTTCGTGAGATGGGAAGCCCAGCGAAAAGAGGACGGCCTGGTCTGACTTAGGCTAACGGATTGCTTCCGGTTGGCTGTGTTGAGAACAGATGGGGTGCAGCTGGGACAGAAACAGAGAGAGCAGTGAGGAGGTGACCACGAAAATCCCGGTGAGACTGATGGCGATAGCTTGGTGTGGGGAGCTGGGTTGCAGCACTGCATAGCTCTAGAGGACGCCATTGTGTGATACGGAGGCTCGGGGAGGTGATGGCGGAGTAGGGTTCTGGGTATTTGTCTAAGTCAGAGCTGACAGAACAGATGAATGAATGGATGTGGGGTGTGTGAGAGAGGAATTAAGGTTGATGTCGAAGTTTTTGACCTGACCGACTTGGAAGGATGGAATTGCTGTTCACCGAGATAGAGAATGTTCCAGGAGGAGTTGGTTCAGGAAACCCTAAACCATGCTGAGTCATAAAGATGATCTTTTCTCTAGTCGCCTAAAATATTTAGTTTTGCGTTTCACATTTAAGCCTTTAATCCACTTGGAGTTGATTTCTTTTTTGAGCGTGAAACGGTCATTTTTAATTCCTCCTCGTGGATCACCCATTGCTCAGTCCTTTTTACCGAATGGTCTCGCCTTTCTCCCCGGGGACCTGCAGTGGTACCATGGGAATCCATCAAATCTCCTAGGAGCACAGATCAGTTTCCAGGCTCCCTTTTCTGCCCGTTGGTCTAATATTACACTTTAATTACCCAGGTATTATAAGGAATCTGATATCTGCTCAGGTAGCCTCCCCTCCTCCTCCAATAGTGCCACCACCACCAGCTAATGCCCTGGTTACTCTAGGTCCTTTACTCTTACACACAAATTTTAGAACCAGCTTGTCAGTTTCCGTGGAAAATCCTGTTGGGTTTTTGATTGGAAGTACGTTGAATCTACAGCTCAATTTAGGGTCACCGGTCAGTTTTACGATAATGAATTTTCCGACCCATAAATATGGTGTTCAGCTCCATTAATTTGTCTTCCTTCAATATCTCTCAATAACATTTTGTAATTTTCTTCTACAAAGATTATGCAGGTTTGGGGTTAGATTTACTTAGAAGAACCTCTTTTTTGCTGCTTATTGCAAATGGCATCTTTTTTAAAATTACATTTTCTAAATTTGCTGCTTGTATACACAGAGGCATTTTAATTTTTGTGCATTAATCTTATATCCAGAAGCCTTACTCAAGCTCACCAATTAATTGCAATAATTTGTAGTCTTTGGAGCTTTTTAAAAATAATGATAATGGCTGCTCTACTTTACATACATTTTAATTTTCACAAGAACTTTATTCAGTAAGTGCTATAATTCCACCCCCCTCCCTTTTTTTTAGGTAGAAAAAACTGAGGCATAGAAAGCTTAAATAACTTGCTTACAATCCCTTCTGATCTTGGAAGCTAAGCAGGGTCAGGCCTGGTTAGAACTTGGATGGGAGACCACCTAGGAAGACCAGGTGCTATAGGTGTAAAAAATAAAAAAAATAAGAAATTGTAAGCTGACAAGGTCCTAAAAGATAAAAGAATAAGAGATTATAAACTGACAAGGTCCTTGCAATCTGTGAGGTCAACCAAGGTTTGCCTAAATAAATAAATAAATAACTTGCTTAAGGACTGGTCAGCGTTAGAATTTGAACTCTGGCAATCTGGGGCCAGAGTTCATATTATTAACCACTAAGCTCTTTCTGCCTTTGCACCATCCTGGCTGACTTGTCCAGGACAATGTCGTATATAAACAGGGAGAGCAGGTACCCTTATCTCCTGGATTCTCACATTTACCTTTAAATATAACATTTGAAAAAGAATTTTGAAGATCCTCTTTTATCAGGTTAAGGAGGAGGGTCCCCTTTATTCCTCATGTGCGCATTAATTTAGAAAAATTATGAATGGGTTTTGAGTTGTATTAACCATTTATACAGCAGTTATTCAGATGATCATATGATTTTTTTTCTTTTGCTCTGTCGATGTGGTAAATTATACTGATTTCCTAATATTAAACCAAATGTGTATTCCTGCATTTAAACCAGGATAGATGCATTCTTTTTCAATTGTGAAAACTACCACCCGTGTAGAAGACTGTATAAAGCTTATGTGTGCAGTTTAAAGAAATAATAAGTCACTGCGTGTTCCCTCCCAGGTTAAGATAGGGGTTTACAGGAATCTTGGAAGCCTCTGTCGCAACAGCTACATCAACCCGACTTTTGTCAACAATCCCTTTGCTTTTCTTTATATTGTTAGCCCCTCTGTATGAACCCCTAAGCGACATTAAGTAGACCAGTCAGGGTAGACTCTTGGAGCAGGTGACATCTGAGTAAAGACCTGCAGGAAGGGAGCAGATCAGGCAGTGGATTACTGGGAAAAGAGCAGTTGGGCAGAGGGACCATGTCAAGGACGTTGGCTTGTCTCGGCCTTTTTACTGGGAGTCATTGCATGATTCTGTGCAGAAGAGTGACTTATGTTTCCAAAGACCCATCTGGCTGTTGAGGCTGGGGCACAGAGAGGAGACCATGAGGGGCATCGGATTAGGGGTGGGATTTAAAATGGCTCCAAGGCCCACCCTCTCACCACTAACCCACACCTGGTTCACGGAAACTGTCAGCCTCCTTTGTACTTGAGGAGTACGGCTGGCCCACGTGCTCTCTCTGCCCTGCTGTGTCAGGCCAATGCCTTTTGCTCCAAACCTTGGTGCCCCCCAAGCTCTCAGGCTATATATTGAGCTCCTCAAATGGCCCCTACTAAAGTCTTTTTAATTAGATTTAATGTGAGAGACGGGTACCACCTTCGCTTTAGGGAGGAGCGACTCAGCCCATAAAAAAACCCAAAAAATTCTCTTAAAACATCCTAGGCCAGTTTCACTTCATCTGATCATTTGATAGCCTCCATGCAGGTAGGTTTTTTCACAGATTTTTAGACGCTTACTTTAAATTTCCATCTGGAGGAGTCTGTTTCATACTTCGCTTGGATATCTGATCTCTATCATGTTTAGGGCTCCCGTCCAAATTTCCAATTTCACATTCTGTTATGTAAGCATGTAAAGTCATACATGACAAACACACTAAAATTTGCTTTACAAAAGTGGATTTCTAGCTTGATGGCACCCTTGTTAGAGAACATGACCTGTAACGGTTTTACTCCTTTGAAATTGTTGAGATTTGCTTTATAGCCCAGGAGACAGTCCTTTTTTGAAGGTGATCAATGTGTTTGAAAATAATCTCTTGGGTTCAGGATTCTGCGTTTGTCTAATAGAGATGGCTTGCTAATTATTTCTATACAAATCTTCTAATTCCTTGTGAATATTCTTTGCTTGATCTGTTAATTACTAAATGATGTACCTTTCGGTCTTTCCCGCTGAGAGCAAATTTATCAATTTTTTTCCTTGCGGCTCTGTTCATTTTGCTTTAACTATTTCAAGATTATTCCAATGAAGCAAGTTTAGAATTATTACATCGCCTGAATGAATTGCAGTCATTTTTACTTCTCATAGTACCTTTGCTTTACAAGTCTGCTGTGTCTGATAATTTAATGCAATGAGACCAGATTGCTTTTGGTTAGTATTTGTTTGATAAATCTTTTTCTATATTCCCATGTTTATCCTCTCTGTGTGTCTTTTTGTTTTAAGTATGCTTTAGATAATAAATATCTGGAAAATTTTTTTGTAGTCTGATGATCTGTTTTTTAATCAATGGGCTTAGTCCATGTGTATTTATTCTAATTATTAATATATTTGGATTCATTTCTATGACCTTATTTTGTGTTTTCTATCTGTGCTGTTCTTTCTATTTTGCTTTTTTCTCCTTCCTTTCTTATTATGAATTCAAGTGAGCTTTTTCTCCCCCAGTGTAATTTTTGTCCTTACTCTTCCTATTCTTTTAATGATTACCTTTGACATTTTTACATGCATAGTTAACAAACTCTAAAATTAACCAAGGTATTTAGGTTTATCGATTAATATAAGAACATTAGAAGCCTTCGACTTTATTCTCCCCACCACTTTATTCTCCCCATGGGTTCAGCTTCCATGACATTATTTTACAGAATTTTAATTTTACATCAATGAAATAGTCTAAACCGTAGATTCTAGAGCCATATAGTCTGGGGTCGAGTCCTACATCTTTCACTTACCAGCTGCGTGACTTTAGACAAGTGACTTAACGTGTCTGTGTTTTATTGACTTCGGTAGTAAGATGGAGATAATAATCATACCTATTTCTTAATGTCGTTGAGAAGATTCAACGAGTACGTTCCATTAAGCTCTAAGAACTGTGTGCTTAGCACGTGGTAAATCTTAAAAAAATAGTGAGCTATCATTGTCCTCATTATTTCACCCCACAAAGTACTGTTTTTATAACGGATGTGTTTTTAGGTCTCAGATCTTTCTTCTGGGGTCATATTTTAGGATGTGTTTTTAGATCTCAGATCTTTCTTCTGGGGTCATATTTTTCTTTTCTGAAGTATGTTGTTTAGAAGATTTTTGGGGGTTAGACTCTGTTGTTGGTAATTTTTAGGCCCAGAAAAGACTTTATTTCATTCTCATTCTTGAAAAACGGTTCTCATAAATAGTTTTAGATTGTCAATTCTCCCCATCAGTACTCCAGTGTGACATCATTCATTCATTTCCATCCGACTTCGATGGTTAATCAAACTCACTGTTATTCTCTGTAAGTAATCTGCCTTTTCTCTATGGCTACTGCTAAGATTACTTTGTCTCTGGTGTTCTAAATTTTACTTGGATATACTTAGGTAAGAAATTCTTTTGACTTCTGCTATTAAGGAGTTATGATTCTTGAATCTAATGATTCATATCCTTAGATTTTCATCAATTCTGGGAAAATTCTGGCCATTATCTTTTCAAATATTACCTCTCTCCATTTTCTCCAGTCTCTCCTTCAGAACTCCAATTAGACATAGGTTAGACCTTCTCACTGAGCCTTCATTTAATAGCTTTTTCATATTTTCCACATCATTTTACTCCTCTGTGCTCAATTCTAGTTCATTTCTTCAGATTTAGCTTCAGTTTATCATTTTTCTTAGCTGTATCTAATCTACTATTTTAGCTGTCCATTGAATTTGTTTTTAAACATTATGATGTCGATTTTCAAACTTAGAGAAAAGTAGAAAGAATAGTTTAATAAATAGATGTTTCACTCATCATTCAACTTCAACAGTTATTAATACATAGCCAACCTTATTTTATCTTTTCTACCACTCACCCATCCACCCCACCCCAGATTATTTCAAAGCAAATCCCAGAGCTCTTATGCATTGAATTTTAAATTATTACGTGTTTTATTTCTGACATTTCATTTGCTTCTTTTACTAATCTGTTCTTTCTGGGCACTTTCTTATTTCTTGCTTAATCTTTTCTTCTCTTTCATGACTCCAGACATTAAATATACTTATTTTTTTCTCCCTCTTTAATTCTCTGCTCCCCCTTCCACACCTGACCTATGGATGTTGCCGTTTCCCCTTAATAACGGGATCTCTGAAAGTGGGACGTCTCCTCTCACATGCTTGCGGTGTGTACCCAGGGCCTGATGCCCCTGGCGCCTGACGCACCCAGCGCACCCAGGGGGCCTGGTGCACCCAGGGTATGGTCCATGGCTCCACCTGGGGCACGAACCCAGGACCTTCTGCATGTAAAGCAGATGTGCTAACTGCTACACTATGGAGCCACCCCTAAATATACTTATTTTATATTCTGTAATGGATTTTTCAAATTCTTGCTCACTTTTGGGATTTGGTTCTCTGTTTGATGTTTCTGCTGATTCTCGATCATGGTAACTTATCTCCTTGTGTTTGGTTTAACTTTACATGTAGAGATAAATTTTCTGAAAATACAGATATTAATTGTCACAAGCCATATGCATCAAGGAATTTCCAATAATGTAACCTTCCCCATGCAGGATCATTTCATTAGTTTATCTTTTTGAATAGATGAAGAGACCAAAGCTCTGAGAGGTTAAAAACTTGTCTGAGGCCACACTGTCCATAAATGATGGAGCTGGGGTTTGAGCCCAGGTCTTCCTTCCTCTGCCTTACTCTCCCCACCCCCTACCATCCCACAATCCCCCATCCACAGAGAAAACTGACATCCAGGTATGAACCCTAGAGCTCCTGACCTCTGTTGACTTGGGGTTTCTGGGGATTTCTTCATGGGGTTCCACAGGGGCCCCCCAGGAGACGAAGAGCCTCATGAAGGCCTCCTACACTCCAGAGGTGATTGAGAAATCAGTGAGGAACATAGAGTGCTGGCATGGCAGAAAGACGGATGATCTGGGTACGTGGGGAGCTGGGGGTAAGGGAAGAGTGCACCCCCATAATTGGGCAGGGTGTGTGGGTCCCAAGTCCAGAGAGAAATCAGAGCAGCACAGAGAGTCCTGGGGTGGGCCTGAAGGGGCGTGGATCACCTCTGGGGCCTGGGCACTCTAGAGGTCCTCTGGGTGACCTACCTGTACTGGCTCCTGCCTTGCTCTCTGCAGGACGGTGGCACCAGAAAAACGCTATGAACATGAACTTGCAGAAAGCATTGGATGAGAAATATGGAGAAAAGAGCAAAAGCAAGAGCTCGAAGTAACAGACACAACTCAGAAGAGGTGCCCTCGACTCAGAGAAAGTGCTGACAATAAAGGCACAAATCGAAACCCTTCTTCCCTCTGCTTGGTGCCTTTCTTCACGTTGGGGTGGGGGCCAATGTTCAATGCTGGAAAGACCAACTGAGGCAGGATAGAAGCCTGAAGGGCCCCAACTCTCCCTCAGACCAGGCCCCTACACACACACACACACACACACACACACACACACACACACGCACGCACCCTTCTTCCATAATTCCAGGAAAGGACATAAGACCTGAGTGGGAACTCTGTCCCAAGCCCAATGTGTCTGGCTTCTCCCTCATGCTCTATGTGGAGGGGTCCTATAGTAAACACTGCTGGATCTTACCTTCTATGCCCTCCCTAGCAAAACCCCAACTACTTCCAGGGTCCATTCCTTCTTTAGGAGCTCACGGACTTTAGAGGAAATGGCCACACCCTCCTTCAATCCAGGGGTGGTTTTGTTTGGTCTCATAGTAACTCTGACCCCTCCTTCCACATATACAAAGTGATCAGTTCTGAAATGGGCATGTGACTCAATCTGGCCAATGAGATGCAAGGAAAGGGGTGTGTGTGTGTGTGTGTGTGTGTGTGTGTGTGTGTGTGCGCGCGCACGCGTAGCCTTCTGGGAGATTCTTTTCTCTACTCAGAGAGCTGGGAACTGTCCCTCTCCTGTTGTGCTGAGTGAGGATCCACACAGCCCGGGTGACCTCACAGAGCTGTTCCATCCACCTAGTCAGAAGCCACCCACCTCTGGACTTACTGTAATGTAAGCTTGGGCACAATAACAGTCTACCATGGTGATCACGCTGTGGCAAAATCAAAAGCAGATCTCTGCCAGAAGAGGGCCTGCCCCTCCTCCCATGAAAGGAAATGACTTTGTAAAGATAGGATCAGAGCTGGATGCAGTATGGGGAGAAGAATTTGGCTTCATTTAATATCTACTGATTACTTACCCATGTGCAAAGTGCTGCATTCAGCTCAACTTCCTTATTGGAACCTGATTTCTGTAAGGCGCTGCTCTCGCGCTGGAAAAATCAGACTTTATTGAGCAGCTACTATCTGCTCATCACATGTGGCACCTGAAAAAAATGAGCTACAATACCCAGAGTATTGTAGCTAAAGCGGACCATGTACTGTTCAGACATAGACATCCAGATGCAAATGATAACGTGCCAAATGCTTTATGCGCACAACCTTATCTCATCCTTACATCAGTCCTTAAAGCCATTATCATCTCTTTTATGAAGATGAGGAAACTGATGCTTAAAGGGGCCTTGTCATTTGTCTAAGGTCATACCCATAAGAAGCTGGGTTGAAAATCCAGGAATTTCTGACTCAATCCATTTTATACTCTATCGGCCAATCATATCGTCCTGTCAGTAAATACATATGAGTGCCACAAACACTTGGCCCTGTTAAGCACTATGGGGGACAGTGATATAAATCCAGTACAGTCTTCATCCTCAAGAACTTTACAGTCTGCAGAAGACTGATGTGGAAGAAACTGAGGCTCTTCCATCCATTTGACGAACGTGTAGCGTGCACCTACCCTCTGCCCAGCCCTTATTGATGAACTGGGAGTTCAGAGATGAATAAGATATGGCCTCTTTCCTCTATGTGTCCAGAGTCTGGTGGGGAGCTACATCAGTAAAGAGACAGCTCAGGAATTTTACACATGCAGCAAGAAGTTCGTATGGGACCAGTGGAAGCACAAGAAAGAACCTGGGATGGGGTAGGGGCTGGTGGTCACAGAAGGCCTCATAAAGGAAGTAGCTCTTGGGATGAGTCTTGGGACATGAGTAGGTATGTTCAGGTAGGCTGGAAGGGGCACAGCATTCTAGACAGAGGGCACAGTGTGAACAAAAAGCCGGTATGGGACATTTGGGGGGCTGTGGGCAGCTTGATAAGCTTGGAGAGTAGGGGTACAGAGGTCAGGTGGAACAGGTAGAAAGAGAATCTGTGGTTGGATGGGGCTGTGTGTGCCTCGTGAGGGCTTTAGATGTGAGACCCAGCCCCTTCCCCAGGAGCTTACAGTCTGGCTGGGACATAAAGGGTTAATAATCACTGAAGGAGCCACACAGAAGAGAGGAAAAGATGCTCAATATCTCCAGCAGTCAGAGAGATGCAAATTAAAACAATAAATTCATCGGGTTGGCCGACATTAAATTGCAAGTGTAGGTGAGAAGGAGGAAAATGGGAACTCGCGTACGCTCAGTGATTTATGAGCGTAGCACAGAAGGGCAAGGAAGAATTTAACAAAAACTGAAATTATATCTTATAACTTAGAAATTCCATTTCTGTGTAGCCTAGAGAGTCTCTTCAACACGCACACCAGGAGCACCGCACAAAGAGATTGACCGCAGCGTAGTTTGTAATTGCAAAACATACGTGTCCGTGAGCAGGAGAATGGACCGATGAGGTAATGTGCAGCCGTGGGAAGGAACGGACCGTGTCTACACACACCGGTGCGGAAGGTTCTCACAATGTACCACCGCGGGTGGAAATGACAGTCTGCAGAATGAGCCCCATGGTATGAAACGTACCATTGTGTGACCTTCAAAAGGCATGCACGCAACCACTCCATCACTCGAGGACACAGTTGTGCGAGTGTGGAAGGTGGATTGGAAGGATGCTGCAGACATTCAACTCCGAGTTATATTGAGTTTGGCTCTTTTCAGATGCTTTGCTTTCTACACCTGCAAGAGAAAGCCACCAGAATGCCCTCCAAGAGAATGTCGATGCTAGAAAGAATGGCTGAGAATGGAACTCTGGGGAGCTGAGCAATTTCAGTTTTGACACAAATGAACAAATGATCAGGCTTCATGACTTTGCTTGAGTTAAAGATTTTATTTCAGCATCTTACGAGGAGCCCTTTTAAATTAAACATTGCATATTTTGGAGAGAGAAAAACTGTAATCTTGGCAAAATAAAACATGCATAGAGTTTTTAAACTTAAGTAAGGCCTTCAAGCCACTGATGATGCTTCCAACAGTGCTCCCGGGGTCCCTAGAATCACCCCGATTCATGGTGATTCTTAGGTTTCAATGAGGTACCGGGACTAGATCTTAAGTAGTATTAATTCACATAGTAGAAAAGTTATCCTTCAATTCATGCAGGGTTCATAGTGATTCAGAACCATCTTCATAATTTCTACTATATTCAAGTACCACCTGAGGGGGAACCTATAAAAGCAAACCTGGGGTGCTTTAACCTTGACCCCCACATGGCTGGATTCCTAGTCCAGCTTGCCCTGTGGTGGCAGAGCCTCTAAATTGCAGGCTGAGTACTTAGATCTCATAAATCCAGGATATAAGTGCAAAGGAGGGAAACTAAAGACCGTTTAGATATATCTTTCTAACCATGTCCCCACCCATAGCTCCATTTTATAGATGAGGAAACTGAGACGCAGTTGAGTTCATTTATGTCTAATCCGGAAGTAAGCAGTCCATGCTAGCCAGCTTTGCAAACTGTCGGTGATGGTGCTGGGTGGCAGGCAGAGCCTTTTTTCCATTCTCCCTTCAGAAATCACGGTCTCTGTGGTGAATGGGAGCAAGCAAGAGCTGCAGTAAATGCAGAGGCAAATCCAAATCCAGATTTGTGGTCAAGGGGCAACAAGAGGACTTTGCAGCCCTGGGTGACCCTGCAGCTGGCCTCGAGCCCTTAGGAAGACTATCTTGCTTCTCAGAGCCTGGTTCTCATTTACAGGGGTCATAACAACCCCTTCAGAGGTGGTTGTAATGATTGCCAAGAAAATGCACATCCAGGACCTGACGCACGGCATAACCCTCTTGCTAGCGTGCAATAAATGCTTATTCTTTTCCTTCCTTCAGGACCAGATTTCCCAACTCTGTATTTCAAGGAACGCTGGGACAGGTTAATAGGTGCTATCAGAGTAAGAACGTCCAGACCTGTAAAGAATTTTTGTAAGATTTTATTTGAGTCAAAGTGACAGCCATTGCCAGGAAGTAAGATCTCAAATATTCCAGAAAATGATGGGTTTTTTTTTTTTGCAGTTTCTTTGATACACTTATAATTAATGAAAGAATATGAGGAGGATTCCATGAAGGTGGAAGACAGCAAGGCAGAGGATAGTTAGCAAGATTATGTGCTTCCCCGAGAACGGTTTCACCTTCGAGGGGTCTGAAAAAGAGAATTATCTCCGGCATTTCACGAGTGTGTTTGCCTGGGTACACAAGAACAAATTTGTAAAAACTTCTCTAGTAAAAGGCTTATCTTTGTCTTAAGCTTGGGATGCGACTACTTAGCCTGACCTGCCCAGTTAGGAATTTATGATCAGATCAGCCTGTGCAGTTACTTTCTCTCACTGGCCTTATCAGCTAGATTACAGAACCGCTTTTTCACCCCCGGTGCTATGTGGAAAACGGTCCCATTGTCAGATGAATTTGGGTTCTGTTGGTTTAAATAACACTGAACAGAATTATTTTATGCAAGACTTCTTAGAACCTGGAATATGCTAAGATTCACTGTGTCGCTCCTAATTATTACATGTAATGTTCGCTGTTCCCCACGGTGCCTGGCTTAGACAGAGCAAGCCACTGATAGCTGTGACAACAATAATGATTTTATTAAAATTGCAGGTTCAGGAGCCTGGGAAGTCAGCCTAGGAAGAATAGACCTATTTTTCTTTGCAGCGGGATAGGGGGTGATGAATAGATTGACACGTAAACCAAAATGCTCATCATCAGGGCTCATGCAGCACTATGTGTACCAAAGGGCCTGGCCACCTCTCCCCGGCCAGACCCATGGGGAACAGGTGAGTAATCAAAGATTGGCTTGAGCTGTTCTCAAACGAAGGGGTTGGGTTTCAGGCTGCGCAAGTCAGGCTGAGTGAGGGCTAGCCCGCCTCCCGCTCACTGCCCTGCGCCACTAGCTTCTCTGGCTTACAAGTGAAGGAGTGACCCGCCCCAGGCAACGGCCAGTGGTAATGTTTTCCCAGTGGGCCAGTATTCACTGAGCACCTACTATGTGCTGGGTGTTGGGCACTGTGAGGGAGACAGGGATGTAGTCCTTCTGTTCAGAGAGAT